TGCGCATTTTTAAAAGAAGATATCTTATATATAAAAATGAATTGCTGTCCGTTAGCCTCGCTAAGACTCGAAAACGGCTTGACCGATTTGAATATTTTTATTTTTTTGGTTTGTTTTTTATAATATCCGGATGATTAAAACCAGAAAAAAGTAGAGAGTTGCCACCTGTTTAAAAATTTCAGTATAAGTAAATTAATGACATAAATTAGATATTGCAATATGGGTGTCAAAAGAAAGCGGTTATGAAGGCTTACAGGCGAAAATATTTTTGAGGGGGGTTGCCACCTGTTTCAAAATTTAAATAAATGAAATTGATAAGATAAATTAAATATTGCAATATGGGTATCAAATTAAAAAGGTTTAAGAAGGCTTACTACTGAAAATATTTTTGAGTCGAGTTGCCACCAATTTCGAAAATTAAGTTAATTAAGTTAAGAAGATAAAGTATGTATTATAATATAGGTGTCAAACGAAAAGTATTTGAAAAATTATTGACTAAGAAATATTTTCTATAGGCCTGCCACCTACCTGAGCGGTAAAAACTAAAAGCCATACTCGCAAATATTATTCAAAGCTTTTCAGGCTCGCATCAATGTGGAATACTGTAACTCCGTGAGGCTTTATTGATGGCAAACAAAGTACTATCATGTTTGGCAATGATATCACCCCGTCGAACAATGCACAAGCCTCGATATAAAAAGAGAACAAAAGCCGAAGTATTAGCCGAAGCAGTTCATACAAATGTCCCACAATTGAACTAACAAAAAAATATGGCCTACGACTCTTTTATAGAAGCTGTTTACACTGGAGTAAATTTTAAACAAAAAAACAAAACCGACTTAAATTCTCATATACGTTTAAGAGTACCGTTATTTTCTTCGTGGCCAAATTATCGGATCTACACTCAATTAGTAGGAGACTACCTCTGAGGAACCACCTCTCCTTTAAAAAAGAATTATAGAAAACGGATAACGTAGTCCAAAGTTATGCGGTAACATACATAAAAAAATATTCCGACGAATTGATAAAATATGCAGATTAATATTTAATAAAGTGTTACGGATGTTTTTTTTTTAATACAAACCACAAAGCACAAACTCCGAAGCACAGTTTATTGATACGAAAAATTTATTTCTGATATCTATTTAAAGAACCGCAAGATTGCACTACAAAGCAAATTACATATTTTTACTATTGTAACGGGAGAAGTTACTGTATGTATTTTTTTATATGTACAGTGTCGAACAAAAGTTTTGGCACAGCAAATTTTCGCATTACATATATGCAAAGTTTTTAATTTTTTTACTTTAAAAGTTTTTAATTTTTTTTTACTAAAATTAATGGATTATTAAACTGCATACTTGGAATTTTTCTAAAAAATACTTGGCCTATATTGCGAAAAATTCACTGTGCCAATACTTTTGTCCGTTACTGTAAGTAAATAAAACTTTAGCTTTAAAAAACCAAAAAAAAAAAATAAAATTTTACAATATATCAAAATTATTTTTGAATTTTTTTATGATTAACAATGTATTTATATTTTTTTTTTTTGGTTTTAGATCCTTTTTGCTTTCAACACGAGGTATCTTTTTTCTACTTTCTATTGTCATAGCCATAACTCCCTCTCTATTTTTATCAATCAATCAATCAATTTTATAATTTTTTTTTGGCATTTTTCCTAATTACAAGTAGAGCTTTATAAAACTTTTATAACACTAAATGTTTATTAAGCTTAGGATTTTGTGTTATCCGGGCAGGCTTATTAATTTAACCAGAGAAAATATTTTCTTTATTAAGTTTACCCTGTTACCCATTTTAAACTGCTACCTGTACTGTATCAGTGGTTAAAACTTGTTAAATTTTTATTTAAAATTTTCGGTAAGGAATAAGCGAGTGGATGAAAAATATATAACGGTAAGAACGACCCATATATATGTATATGAAAGAATACACACATGCGACGACTCTTGCCATTGTGTGCCACTCCTTTAAATTATAGTTACTCTTTTCTTATTGTATTAAAAAAATAACGTTCGTAACACTTTAGTAAATATTAATCCGTATATTAACTTAAGTAGTATATATTAAAGAATAGAAGATGACCCGGTGAACTTCATATCATCTATAATTTATTTGAGATCACTAATACTGCCTGCTGTTATAGCTGATAAAAGATTCCAAACCTATGAGATGTGCCACGCCCCTTTTTACAAACTCATTTATATTCATATATCTTTCCATAAGCACCTACCATAGGTAACTGTGCATTTCAAATTTCGAGTTCATGTGCTATAATTCCGAAGTTAGAGCTGACTAAAAATTTTCACTATGGGAGGTATCCCTCATCCCCTCCCCCCCTTGCCGAGTTTCAATTTTTTTACCCTATTATAGATCCAGGAGTCATGGCAATATTTTGGCCAAATTTTATTCGATTCTGTCCATCCGTTTAGGCTGCAACCTGGCACATACATACATACATACTTCCACAAATATATAGTAGATTTGCTTTGAAGCGCCACCTTGCGGTTCTTTAAATAAAAAATAGATATCAGAAATGAATTTTTCATATCACAAAACTCCGGAGCTCAACTCTTTATTACAAAAAAAAACATTCCTAACACTTTAGTAAATATTAATCTGATTATGGACTTAGTATTAATTAAAGATATTTTCTTTTAAAATTGCGCAGGCTCGAAATTGATTTTAGAGCTATGGTCTAAAGGGCTTTTTTTCTTAGAATTTCATGTAGAATCCGAATCTGATAGGAACGATGTCGAAAAAAAATTGACCCGCCCTAACGTACATACAATAATTGATCGTTTAAAGCTGAAATTCCCAAACTTTGTTTCCTGGTCTCTGTGGAACCCCTGCTGATACATTTCTAAATATTCCCAAAGCTTTTAAAAAAATTTAATGCGAATATTAGATCTAACTATGTAAATTTGCAACGCGGGTGAATTCAAAATCTAAACTCGGAGTGGCCAGTATTTTCTTTCTATTATTTTTTGTTTCTATTTATTAAAATAATGTGATTACACACTTTCAGGTTGTAAAAAACTGAGCTCGTAAAACATCAAAATACTCTCTCGCTCTGAGGAGTTATATTTTTTAAGAGCACTTTGAGACCTAGCGTTATTTACATTATCTTCACCCTAAACTCATCAAATGTTCGTCTCACTCATAACACGTGTGACGTGGAGTATTTGTAAAATAGTTTGTTTGTGTTGATGGCATCATTTTAATTTTTATGGCCCCGAGTTTTAAAGTGAGGCGAAAAATATTTATCACTCACATTTTTAAAACACAAAACTTAAAACAACAAAACGGCTGAGCTCTTTACGCAAAACTTCTAATTCAGAAACTGGCAATAGAGAAAAGAACGAGTATAGAAAAATCGATGACAAACAACCAAGCAAGCAAGAAGCACAAAATGTGTTCCACCGTCTCATCCTCTTCAAGGCAGGATGGGCAAATGGACTTGTCATTTACGCCTACCACTGTCAGGTGTTTGTGCCACGTGAAGTGACTAGTCAGCAGTCCAACAAGTTGTCTGCAGTGTCGTCTGCTCAATGACAGCAAAAAACTAGATATACCTTCTGAGATTGAAGGCAACATGAGTTCTGCCCACCTTCATCCCCTCGATGCCCCCCAGTCATTTCTGAGCGAAGTATGGCCGAAAGTAGTAGGTGTGCTAAAACTGGTTGCGGACCGAGGAATGCCTGGTCTGAGCCAATTCTGGCCAAATATCTTATTACCAGGTTATCCTGAGTGACCTGGCACCCAGAGTAAAGCAAGCTCGTTATATTTACCACCATACTTTAGTCGAGACTTGCATTTCCGAACTGGTTTGGAAGTAGTTAGAGAGCTGGCCAATGCCTTAAGTGCAGCTTGGTTGTCACTGCAGACACGTAAACTCCTTCTCCTCCACCTATGTTCCACCACGTAGTCCATGGCTTTGAGGATTGCAATTACCTCAGCCTGGAAGATTCCCCAACAGAAAAGTGAAGCTTATCACCATTAACTTCGAAAAAGACCCCAGATCATGACGCAGTCAGTTTTGGGGCCATCAGTGTGAGTCCAATCTCAGTGATGGAATTAAACCAGCATTCAGTCTCAGGGAACTCAACATTATAGAACAAAGGTAATGGGGGCGTACTATCCTGTAGCATCGAAAATACACAAGTGCTTAAATCTCTGCAGCCAGCAATTTCCGCCGCGCCCGCTCATTGTTATACCAACATCCGGTTCGTTTTAGTCTGCAGGTGGTCTTTAAGGCTTTCCCACGTATGAAAACACAAAGTGACGGTAAGTGCAGCAGTGCGTCAAGAGCACAATAGACCACTAAAAAAACTAAAGTTAAACAAAGAGGCTATCAAGCAACCATTTGGTTCTTTACTATCGAAACCAGGTACATTTTCTTGGACCCCCACTTACAACTCATGGACCCCCATATTTTTTTCACGCCAACATGCACCCCTGTCGAGTCTTTCGTGGACCCCTGGACCACTTTGGGAATCACTGGTTTAAAGTAAAAAGATTATAAGTCTATTATATATATACATACATATGTAATTTATTCATCAGTTTTGATAAATCACTGTCCTTTAAAAACATCACTTCACTAAAATATATTGGACTCAATTGATATAAGTCAGTACTTTTTATAAACTATTTATTTTGAAAGTGGCATAAGTCCTTTTACCCTAATGAAGAGAAGTGATTTTTCCATGACTATACGAAATTTTTTATACTGAGAAAAATATAGGTTTCCTATGATAACAAATACAAGCAAATATTTTCGAAAGATATCATCAATATTTTTAAACGTGCTAAAATGCAAACCCGTACATATATTGATTTTAAAAAACAAAGGAACTTATGCCACTTTCAAAATAAACGGCTCAAATGTTACCTGTTTTAATTAAACAAGCCAATTATTAGAAATTTTAATTAAATTTCTTCTCGTCTTGTTACATGCAATGCTTGCTACCTGCGCTCAGGCCTTTTAGGAAAAACCCTCAACTCAGGTGAGAAATTAAAATGTTATTAAAGTTGCCTCATATTCATCTCCCTAAGGGCTGATTTCATAATGAAATTAAAGAATATTTTAAAATTTAAAGAATGCTATATTTTGCTGATCGATTTCTTAACGCCACTTTAAAGATAAA